GCCTTTTCACCGGTCGTGATCCCCGATACAACAACCCGAGCGACACCAAAATGTCACCCGATATTCATGCCACCATTGCTGAAGTGGAGCGCCATGAAAACGTTCCCAATAAACTTGAGCCCTACACCCTCGACATGCAACAACACCTCGAGCACCGCAATATCGACACCAAAGCCCACCGAGACGGTCTCTGGAAAACATGTGAAGACTGGAACAGTATCGGCCTCCTCGATGGCCACCGCCTGTCCGAGTATGCCCAAACTTCCGCCAACAAAAATATTGGCGACCAAGCAACCTTTGACGGCATTTCCATTGCATTTTGTGTCGAAGATGTTACCTGTTTCGACAAGTTTAAACGCAAAGTATCCATTTCCGATTTCCTTCAGAATCCAGACCTTGTTTGGCGCATAAAAACGCGTTTCTCCCATCAGAAGAACGGTAACCATGGGGAAGAAAAACTTTTTATTCGCAGTGAAAAGTCCCCACTCCGTTGCTACATCCGTCGGATGCATTCCATCCTTTCCCGGTTTGACCGATTGATCGGCATCACCACAACCAATGTCCCCCTTGCGGTATACCAAGATGGCGCCCGCGTCCTCTTCCTTCATGACGCAGAAATCACCCGTGTCATGCGCCATGTTGCTTGTTCGCTCTACAACCTAGCTAGACCCCAAACAAGACAAGATCCAGTATTCTTCCCACTCTATCCGAGTTGGCGCCTGTGTCCTCCTCCACACCTCCGGAGCAACCACTGACCAGATCAAGTTCCTCCTCCGATGGAAATCCGATGCCTTTATGGCATACCTGCGCAACGTCGCCCATCTGTGCATGCAACAAAATGATGCCATCACCATGATCGATGCAACTACATTTCTTATATAACTCCCTTGCTACCTTACGCAACTTTTCCACTCCCTTTTATATGATGCACCAGCCATCCACAATTTTCTTTCTTTTCTTTTTCTTTTTCCCACTCCATGCACTCGCTAGTGTATTGGCCCTTTCTTCCGTTTCCTCCGGAAGCGATCGCATACCATTCCTTGGCCTGATTTATCTCTTCTGCACCAAATGCTTGGTACCATCCAGGTCCCAAATTTGTGTCACGGTTGATTCCATTGAGTCGAATCTTTGATTCCCGTTTTCAAATCCGGTCCCTAATTCTAGTTACCAAGCTTACGATGCCAAACCTACATCTCTTACTTACGTATGGAGGACTGGCATAATCTTGTTTGGTACAAATTCGTAGTATGCAATCATCCTAGGCCAATCACGCTAGATATCGAGTCATGAAGTGGAGGCGGCGCCTGGTAATCCGTAGGATTATGATCAGGCAAGATGGTAGACGGACTGGCAAGAGAAGACTCCTGTCTTCACGCCAACAGTCATGTCGTCAGTCGCTTAAAAGCGAAGTAACGGTAATTCATTGGACGAAAATTCGGGGACGATCGGCATGGCAAACGAAGGCGTGAACAGAAGCATTCTTTTTGCCAAGTGCAAGATGAGACGATGAAGAGCTAAGGAACCACGATCATCTGAAACAGTTCAGAACGATTATATCTTTTTTTCCCACCATCCCACCCGGTTCCTGATTTATCTCTTCTGCACCAAATGCTCGGTACCATCCAGGTCCCAAATTTGTGTCACGTTTGAGTCCATTGAGTCGAATCTTCGATTCCGGTTTTCAAATCCGGTCCCTAATTCTAGTTACCAAGCTTACGATGCCAAACCTACATCTCTTACTTACGTATGGAGGACTGGCATAATCTTGTTTGGTACAAATTCGTAGTATGCAATCATCCTAGGCCAATCACGCTAGATATCGAGTCATGAAGTGGAGGCGGCGCCTGGTAATCCGTAGGATTACCAGTTTTTAAAAAAGTGCTGGACCGTGTTGCAAATTCGGGCATTTATGGAAATCGAAACCACGGAACCAGACTAGATGTTGTCAAACACACGCTAATTTATGATCCCTCGGTAACGTTTTCACACGGGGAATCTCGAAAAAAAAGGGTACTTTTTAGGGAACTTTCAGGGAACTTTTTAGGGAACTTTTAGTGAACTTTTTAGTGAACTTTTGGCTCATATTTCATAAATGGGGTTGGGTATTTTTGAAAACCGCCGTATTTTTTGTACCACCTGTATATGGCTTAGGGGGGGGGGGGGGGGAGAAGGCGGAGAGAGAGGGGGAAAAGAAGAGGAAGAAGGAAGAAAAAGGAGGGTTTTAACGCGCTTGTTTCATCGGGAAAATTCTTATTGACAAAGTTCTTCCGATGTCATAAACAAATCAAATGGCATCCAGGGGAAGCTATATGGGGAAAAACCGAATCAACCAATCAAAACAATTCCAATTTGCAATTTCACTGTGTACTGAGCTTGGAATGACCTTGGAACTAGATTAGATCCTTTGGAGGTACAGACATAGCTTTAGGCCTAACTCTCACGTCACTCCTTTCTGTGGCTTTCTGAGAGACTCTATAACCAGGGGTCGGTAAAATAGAATTGGCAGTGCAATTAATTGCAATTGCATATTGCAATTACATAATTGCTCAGCCATCCGGACGTCAATTAATTGCTATGTAATTTTACAAATGACAATTAATTAGAGTAAGGCATAGCTAAATTAAAACTATTTATTTATAATCCTTAGCAATGCCAATTTTTCAATAATTGCAATTAAATAGCAAGAGATGGCAGATGGCAGGCGATATTCATCTGCAAAAGAAAAATGCTCTGCATATTCTGTCGTCATTTCGCATTTCATATTTCATCATCAAAAAACAATGGCCAATGGGAGCGCAAGAGTATGTGTGCAGAGCACTCTTCACAAATATCAAGGAAGAAGAACTTACAAGCGTTCAAGGCATTACCAAAAAGTTCAAGGTTGCCTGTTGTCCTGGACGGAATTGCAAGCTCGACGGACCCCTGAAATGGGAATCTGGATGGACAAACCCATTCACCCATTTTCTAGTTTGTTTTGCAAAGAAAAATAAGGCAGCACTAAAAGTCTTAGCAGATAAGGCAAATGCAGCGAAGGAAAAACAGAGGCAGCTTCCATTTCGTCCAGTTGAACAAATTGCACCAGCAGGTCTTCGGGTGTCTGGTCCGCAAGACAAGGCTATGCATAAGTGGGTGGAACTTATTGTGTGCAAAAACTCTCCGCTCTTGCATGTTGATGACCCCCTATTCAGGGAAATGGTATATGGTAGCACACCAAGTGATGCTAAGCTGACAACTTTTGGCAGTAAACAAGTGAGGGATACTATCTTGATGCTTTCGTATCTTGTGGAGACACAAATCAAGGACGAGATGAAATTAACAAGTGCCGGGACCATCCTTCATGATGGGTGGAGCAGGTACTCCTCTCATTATGTATGTGTTATTGCATGCTACTGCAAAGGACATAATGA